TGATCTATTGTGCATTATTCAATTTCAGTGTTGGGCTCAACTGATGCAACGATCTATATTCTGATTGCAGTGACGTTCTTTTATGGAATTCTGATGTTGAATCGAGGTGACTCAAATCCTGGTGAAATTGTGTTTGTTGTCTTGTCTATGCTTTTCGGCGGCGCTACAATAGGTCAGGCTTTCCAGCAATACGATCATTTCAACTTTGCTGTTACTGCAGCGGGCGAAATATTCCCCACCATTGACAGAGTGAGTGACATGTGCTTGAGTAACTTGCGATTTTCATGATATGATTAGTCGAAAGGGAAATTGTTTCAGTCGTATCTCGGTCCATTAATGTGTTTAATAATTGTGGTTAATTTATAAAGTAGGTGTGAAATGTGAGGCCTCGTGTATTGAAAAAGTATTTGACCGATTAATAATTGCAGTTGTTATTTAGGCTGGGAATTAATAAGTCTATGGTTGTCATTGTTTTATTGGCAAGTGATGAGAATGGGGCTTTATTATCTGTTTCATAGATTCCTCCTATTGACAAGCAACCATCAGAGGACAAGATTCGTCTTTCTGCCCTGAAATGTGAAATCGTGTTTGAGAAAGTGTCTTTCTACTATCCAACTCGACCGGATGTTTTGGTGCTGGATAACTTCAGCTGGCACATCAAACCGGGTAATGACCTTGCATTAGTTGGAGCCAGTGGTTCCGGAAAGTCGACAATTATCCAACTTCTTCAACGACAGTACGACCCGACCTCTGGTAGAATAACAGTAGATGGAGTTGACCTCCGTGACCTTGACCTCTACTGGTGGAGAAGTTGTCTTGGAGTGGTGTCCCAGGAACCAGGGCTTTTCGCGGGTACTCTGGGAGAAAATATCTCCCTTGGGAAGCTGGACGCTACTGCAGAAGAGATCGAGAAAGCGGCAGTCAAGGCCCATGCACACGACTTTATCACCAAACTTCCGGACGCCTACGACACAGTCTTTGTGACCCAGGACGGTGGAGGTGGGATGTCAGGAGGTCAAAAGCAGAGGATTGCGATAGCGAGAGCACTTATTCGAGAACCCCAGTTGCTACTATTGGATGAGGCGACTTCTGCGTTGGACACGAGGTCGGAGAGGGCCGTGCAATCGGCACTGGACGAGGCGATGAAGAACAGAACCACAGTGACTGTTGCTCATCGTCTGACGACTGTTCGAGATGCAGATGTGATCCTGGTGATGGAGCATGGTCGTGTTGTTGAATCTGGGAACCACGATGAGTTGATGCGACTCAATGGAGTGTACGCCAACTTGGCAAGCAAAGTAGTAGGTTCTGATGTTGTGGTGTATGCGTCATTATCTCGATTGTTCTCTTGATTGTTCACCTTTTTGCAGCAATTGAAGAAAAACAATGAAGCAGAGGACTCTGACGAAGAGTCTGGAGATGACGATGATGTTGAAGAGATAATAAAGGCAGCTCAACTTCAGCAGCAGGTAATTAGGTCAAATTAACAAGGTTGTTTACTGTGACTCTGACAGCCTAATTAGATGGTTTTAGCGTTTTTCCTGCTCAGTTCCATGCATTGCCTATTTAATTTTAATTGACGCCGTTGTTTTTAGGAGCAGGAAGGAGACGTTGATAAAGTGGTGAGTTGAACGTGGAGTAATCCATCTTCTTCAATGTCTGGAATTCTGAAGTGGACGATGATGTGTGTTTGCTTCATTTCAGCATGAGTTGCATTCGGAACTGGAGGGTAAAACTGTCACCTCCTCTATTTCTGAGTCGTTGGACGAAATGGTCAGTTTGAGTAGTGTGTATCTTGCAAGTCTTAGATGACTATTGATGACTGAGGCACTTTTCCTTTGATATTTATGAAACTCAGGTCGTTGGAAAGAAGTCGAATATCTTAATGGAGCTTGTGCGATTGAATAAACCGGAGATGTGGTATCTGGTTATCGGATGCCTCACATCGGCGTTAATCGGTGGAATGCAAGCGGGCTTCATAATTTTCTACACGGAAATGTATGATGTCAGTAATTGTATAATGTTTTTCGATAATGATATCTAGTAGTTGAAGTTTTGCGTAGTTGAAACACTGCTCTGAAGTGCGTATTTTGCGGATTGAGTGCTTATTCTTGATTAAGCTATTTGTTAACTTGCACTCAAAGTGTT